AGTGTGGATGAATCTCATAGATAAACTACTGAGTTGATAAATTAATTAATTTAATTTTGATTTAGAGATAATAATATAATTTATTTAATATTTTAACTTCGTTATTTATTTAGATATTTTTTAATACGAATAGTTTGTTTATATTTTGTAAAATATAAATTCTATCACGAGTTTTGTATAGTTTTTTTATGTTTTGTATTTTTTTATTAATATTGTTTACTAAATTTTTATACGATAATAAATGATTGATGAATTTTGAAATTGAGTATAAAATGTCAAAATTCATATAAATACCAAACATTATCTAAGTTTGAATTTACAAATACTAAATGGTTAAAATATATTTTTTATTTTCAAAAGTTGTATTTTGTCTTTAAATATATATATATATATATATATATATATATACACTTTCATAACAATCCGAGTTTTACAAGTTTGGTGGGAATATTTTACAATATGAAAAGAAATATATATAATTTATTTACAAACTAAATACAAATTTTAAAATAATTTAAGAAAAAAATTAATCCAAAACTAAATTAAGACCTTGTAGAAAAATATCAATAAATATAACATAAAAAAAAATCCTATTAACTACTCAAATAAATATAGCTGCTTTTTAAGAGGTATTCATAAATGATCAATTGAATAGTCATTATGATTTATTTGTGTACATTGTTATATAAATATATGTAATTATATTCATTTATCACATCAATAATGGTGATCTTTTTAACTCGGTAAAACGTGATATCGAGATTTTACTTGACTTTATGACTATTGTTAACAAAATTAATGTGAAGCAACTTAACATAAATAAGTTCAAAATTGAAATTTATTACAAATATTTAATCTTTTGTTTTCAATAAATATAAATATCTTCTTAAGATATGATTCAGGTTTATAGACATTTTATGGAATGGATATTATCATTTACTCGATGATGTTGTGTTTATTTTGTTAAAAATACAATATCTATTTATCTACATAAAGATTTTGTCACGAAAATATTTTGATCACGACCACTGATAATTTATATTACGGATTTAATAAATCATGACCACTAATAATTTGATCATACTATTTGTCATACTGGACATGACCTAGAGGAATTCAGTACAGAGTAACTCAGCTTTAAAGGAGAACCGCCTCGACGGTCGATTTTGATGAAGAACGATCCGCGTGATCAATCTGAATTGACATCTAAGTGAATAACTTGTGTGAACAATCCGAATGAACGATGTGAACGGACAATCTAGGTGGTGCTAGGTCCCAAGAGAGATCATAGCATATACAAATAAATATATAAAAAAAATCTTTTATTTTTTTATGCACTGTTCTTTTTAGAGGAATTTACGAAGAGAGTTGCTCATTTAGTTTGGCAGCATGAGTTTTGCAATTGAAGTTACGCGGTGAAGTTGATGAAACGTTAAAGCCTAATGGAAAATAGTTGCAAATAATTATTTGTTTTCCACAACTTGGAACTATTGATTGAACAGTGAATAAGATGGACCTTGTGCGGGTCACTATCGTTATTTCTCACACGTAATCTAATATTCAACAAAATTTAAGAAAAATGGAAATATTGTGATCACTACAAGCCCAAAACATATTTATTTATTACAACACAAAAAATAGCTTATCACAAAGTAGAAAAAGAAAAAGAAAAAAAAATACGATGAATGCCCACTTGTCATGAACAAAAATAGAACATTGTAGCTGTTCCATCAAACCATGGGACAATTCCAATTCTAGGCGCTTTATTTTATTTTTCTTAGTCGATGCATACTTGCAAGGAATATCTACTAGACAATCTGCACGAAATATAAATTTTCAAGTCAATAATCAGTATAGTCAAAATTATAATGATGATGTGTACCTTGATTACACTTTAAACTAAGAATATAAATGCAAGATTTAATAAACTATTAAGTATATAATAATTTTAAGTATTTTCAACTGAAATTTAATTAAAAGAATATGTTGTGTAAAATATTCAAAATATTTTTTATTTTGTGTAAATATTCTATCCTTTGATTTTTTTTAATTAATGAATATGCACAAATATTTAATCATACACTTCCTTTTTCTATGTGCCATTATTGATCCTTATTATTTTTCCCTCATCTGTTTATGTTGCTATTTTCAAGTCCACAAGCTGCTTTTGGATTTGGATTTAATTAATGCGAACAAACTCAGAATTACATCGGATAAATATTTTCATAATTATTATTTTGAAAATCAGATTGTAAAAAAAAATAAGTTCATCTTAAATATTATTATAGACTTTTGACATCTACTCAAAACCCATAAATCATTCCTTATCAAACAAAATATCGTTATAATAAAAAACAAAAAATAAATGAATAAAGATAAATACATGAAAGTAAATAAATAAATAAAAATAAAAATAACTAAATTAACAGCATAATAATTTCTTCTTAAGAAACTTAAAATTGTATATACTTACAAAAAATATAACTTTTGACGTCATTTTTTTCTAAAATTTTAAAAAATCAATTGTTTATGAAAATAACATGTAACATTAATAAACTCAACTACTTTATGTCATGTTGTAATGCTTTAAACAATGTAAATAATAATTTTAAAAAAATCACATTAATTATTTTGAATAAAAACGAGGATTATATTGAAATAAAAAAATTATACATCACATCAAATAATTATAATAAAAATTGTGACGAAAAAACTAGTAAACCATTTTAAAACATGTAAAGCAGAGACAAAAGCAGTAATAGTACACCTTCAATGATTATCAAGGTTGAAAGTCAAAATCAATAATGATTTATAATTGGTTGAGAATATTAAAAAATGTATCGATAATACATACTCATCAAACCCATACATATCATGATAAGTTGGAGAAGATGTTTTTAAATGACTCAGTACATTATATATAATTTATATAAGTTTCTATATTCTTTTAGCTTACGTTTAAATGCTGTATTGAAAACTTTTTTTGAAAAAGATCAACTTTAAACTAACTCTGTTTCTTCCTAATATATAAATCTTAAAGACAATCTCGCCACGAAAACAAGTTAGCTTACGCAACGAGTTTATATTCAAACTTTTAAAATAAATGTTAAAAAAATATTGTTCTTGATTGTAAAATCTACTATTTGAGATAGTATAAAAATTATATTATTAATGTATTTAATTATAATTTTTTTCTACAATACACAAAACAATGGAAAAATGAAGTTGATTGAGTGATAAAATCAGAAAAAAAAGAAAGTATCTTCATGAAAAAAAAATTAACATTTACTAATAGAAAATTGTATACGAAACAAAATTATATTAGGTATTCGAAATGGCTATAAGAATTTAATGTATTAAGTTAGGTCAAAACCTCTATAAACACAAGTGCTAGTTATGATATGTTTTGTTATATAATAGTATGATGTACATTTTACTCTTGGTAATAAACGTACGTGATCGGGATAAGAGAGTTCATATTTAATACACAATTATTGATACTTGATTTGGAACTTAATTATTTATAATAAAGATAATTACATGATCCATAGTTTTATTTAGAAAAACTAATGTTTTACGTCCTAGCAATGATCGATGTTGACCAATTCACAAGTTTACCGAATAGCAAAGTTGATTATAGCTAGAAAATAGATTTGACTTTTAGTAATGTTTCCAATATTATTTATTGATGTAATTGTAGCGTTTAATTTATTTTCTTAGAATGATAAGGTGGGACAGATCATGTGGCAAGGCTTGTGGGCCTTCAAGAAAAGACGGGTTGAATTTTTAACTTTGTTAATTTTATTTATTTATTCATTTCGTATAACATATACAGACAAAAAACAGATAAATGGGACAGTTCACATAATCTTAAAAAAACCTGATAACAAATAGTGCATAATATAATAACATTGATTTGTAATTATTAAAAAAATAAGTACAAGAGTTATCATTCAGATAATTGTGTATATTTAACCATTATGATTAATAACATTCATAATTTCAATAAAAAAAAATCTTAGTAGCTAAAAGAATCAAGATTACAATTGATATTTTGTTTTAAACGAATGTTTCATTATTTACGGTTAAATTATATTTCTTTTCTTATTTGAATGTTATGCATTATCCTTGTTAATTTAAATTAACATAATTAAAAAATGAACAAATTCTATAAAGATCGGCTAATAAATCAGATATTATGTATAACAATAAATAATTTAGCTCGGATTTCATATATAGAATGAATCGGTCAAAGAAATTAATTCGCATTTTTTATGTATAACAGACCAAAATGAGATAGACTAGTCAACAAATAGTTATTCCTAACTTTTCTTTTAATATTTTTTATTGTTTTAAACTTAATTTTAAGTGTTGATATATTTCTTCCATTGTTTTTTAAGTGTTATTTAAAAAAAAAACAGAAATATAATAATTTTTATTTTATTTTATTACAATATTTATATGATTTTTTCTTACCTTTTTTCCTACATGACAATATATGTATAAGAAGGCATGCATTATGTTCTCTGAAAATTAAAAGACTTGAATCTAATTTTGATTCTTATAGTTTTGTGATGCTTACAATTTTGATTGTTATAAAAAAAATAATTACGTATTTGATCATTTAATTTTCTAAAATGGTTTGTTTGGTCATTATTAACATATTTTTTTTAAATTTAACAGAAAATGTTTTTATATTTTTCAATTATAACAGTATTAGTTCCTTATTTACACAGAATATTAACATTGATATTCAGTTATAAGTTTTATCGTTGATATAACAAAAATTATGGAAGCATTGTAGTAATTGAATAATATATTATGTTAAACTAAAATTGTTTGTTATTGGAACCTTACATAATCAAATGAACTATTAACAGTATGGATGGACTTTTAAATATAAACAATATTTAATACTGATAATGTATAAATTTTTTTGGCTAAAATATAAATATATAATTAAATAATTTACTATACTTAATAGTATATTTTCATATACTTTTATACCGAAGTTAAAAGTGCAAGTTACAATAAAAAAATGTCATGGTTTTGTGCTTCATGTGAACTTTTGAAGATCTGCCTGTGTGACACCAAGGGCAACCACCATCAAAGTAACCAACGACTGTAAATTCAAACACATGATTTAAGTGAGCACATTAAAAATAAAACCATTTATATATACATAATTAATATAAACAAAGTAATATATATTTTAAAAAAAAAAAAAACCCTACATTCACCATCTAAATACTATTTTGACATTCTACTAATTTTCTTATTTCCATTTTCACCAAATTAATCTTTCAAACGAATAATAAAATCACAATATTCTCCCTCTTTTAATGTTTGTGACTTTTTAAAATATTTGGGAGACTAATCCCATATTCTAAAGTCAAATAATGTGGTGACACGTTAGTTTCAGAAAGACACATGTACAAGTTTCTTATAAGGTTTTAGGTATATCAAGGTTTAGTGTAACATTATCCTCATATTTAAATAATAAAAAAGTAATTATATACATAGTTTTTTTCCACTCCATTTGTCGTAAAAAAACAAATTTCACATTATAAGATATTGGAATAAAGAATAAGAATGTTTAGCAAATTTTATATACATGTCATTGAATTTATGTTGCATTGCTAATGCATTGTAGCAATGGATGAATGAAGTAACATTATGAAAAACACAATAGTTTGTGATTTTCTGCATTGAAGAAACCTAAAGCAATTGTAAATATAAGAGTAGCAATAAAACTTACAGCCAATGCACATGCAATGAGTCCGGGTTTTTCTCTATGATCCATTTGCACAAATACTAAAACAACAGTTCCAATGTACCAAGGAACACCACCAAGAAACCAACCAATTATGAACCTTGCAATACAAACAAAAAGAAATAAATATCACGAGTTAAAGATACTGGCTTATGAGATTGAGTATAAAATCTTTGAAATACCTAAATTTTTTATATTCCTTTCACATTGCCTTACCTGTTTTTTATTCTTTTTTTTTATTATGAATTCAAAAATTTATATATTCATGATATTTTATTTTTGTAGTCTGTATCAAATGAATGTAAAAGTGTGTCCTTGTTTTTCTGAGATTTTGTAAATTCAAGCAAAAAACCCAGTTGAAAAATGAAAATGCCAACAATTATAATAGAAGGGAAAGAAAACTCACAAAACCCAGCCTACACCAAGTCCACAACAGGGAAGTCGACGTTCTCTCAATGGCCTTCTTTCAGGAACGGCATAAACTTCCACAACATAAAATGTCAAAAAATTCCATAAACATGTTCTTTCATTAAAAAAAAAAAAAGACAACATTTGCATTAATCTGAAGAAAATAAGAATGAATGTTGGTTGCAATTGTTGTATTATTGTACCTGGAAGAAGATGGTAGGGTTGTTGTTGGTGGTAAGCGGAGGGAAAAGACGGAGGATAATAATTGGTGACGCCTTGGAATGTGCCATAATAAGGGTTGTTGTCGGTCACCATTTCCTTATTTTCCCCCTTCTCGCTCATCGTCAATACATTGGAATTCATTCCAGTACTTTCTTTCACCCTCCTAATCAGACGTTCTTCTTCTATCAAATACACAAATCATTGGTTGGCAATTATATTTTTGAAAAAATAATAATGATAATAATAACTGAAATTCAAGAGTAAAGTAAAGAATTTTATTTTGTTAAATATAAAACTAAGATACATAAATCTAATTTGAGATCTTATACGATTTTGGTTTTCATGAAAAGTATATTATTAACATGTTTTCAGCTTTCTAAAACTAAATAATAGTTTTTCACTGTTAAAAAAAATTTGTATCTAAAGTAGATTATGTTGACCTGTCAAATATTTTATCACCTTAATTTAAATCTCTTTTGTTATGCGCAGAGTTTTCCCCTAAACGGGTCATGCTTTTATTATCGCCCAAGTCCAAACACAATTTTCAGACTCTCTAAATATATATATATATATATATATATATATATATATATATATAT